CACTGTCCTGGCTGAGAGACTAGCGGCAACTGAGATTCTGTTACACAACAGAAGCAAGAACTCCGTCTGCAGTTCACGGGCTTCAGTGGAAGGCCTCTGAGGTCCTCCTGACAAACAGTCCTAATCAACGGAAAACTGCAACAACCCCAATGACGTCGAAACCAGCAAGGATGCAAAATGAAGCTCTACGACAGACCAAAAGAAATTGCTGTCAAAAAGAGAAAAAAGGAATAGGTGGAAGAGTCAGAAAGCTATGTACATAAACTTTGACCTTGATAACAACCGAAGAAAGCAAAGGCTATAGTAACTAATTTTCACATTCTTTTACCCACATTTCTTCTACTACAGGCAATAGCTAATATTTCAGGTGGGAAAAATGCTGAAACTGCCATTTCTTCACACAATTGGATTACTTCAGGGATCAGCAAACTTTTTCTTAAAGGGCCAGAGACTAAACAGATATTACAGGCCTCACAGTTTCACAGCTATTCCACTTTGCCATTGTAGCTCCAAAGCAGCTTTAGACAGTTTATAAATAAATGGGTGTAGCTGTATTCAAATAAAACTTTACTTACAAAAACAAGTAGTTAGCTAATGCCACACTAACTAATGCTACAATAGCTGATGGGACTTCCTTAAGCTGGGAACATTGTCATCTAAACAGAAGTGTTGAGAGGATGATCTGGAGGCAAAAGGGATTAGACTGTTGTAGATATCTTCCTTTTGCCCTTCCTAATCTGCCCCCTATTTTATTTTGTATACAAGAAGATGCATTATCTGAGCACTAGCCTTCCAGCTGCTGGTCAGGGTGGTCAAACGAGAGGCACAAAGAGGAGACGGAAAATAGAAGAAACAGGAGCTCTGCAGATTCATAACCCTGGGTCTTAGGCTATCAACGGGGTTCCTAGAATGGATATATCAATCCATATGGATATTTGGATATAGATCATATATGGATATATATATGCATGTACATCAATCCATATGGATCTAACAATCTATACATCTAAATTGGGGGAGGGCAATTACTAGGTTTCAAACACCTTTACATAGAACTTTACTACAAAGCAATGCCAGGGAAACAAGGTCAGGCAAAAATCAAAAAACAAAAGCAGCCTCTGAACAGTCAAGTTAGTGTGTGTATCAACCTTAATTTTTTCACAGAAAAAAATCTCACTGTGGATTTATTCTTGTTTCATACACAATTCTAAAATGTTTGGTAATGTAGACTTTCGTATTCCACAACATATTCAAAGAAATAAATTTTAACCAGAAAACAGGAAAAAAGGAAAGGGAGAATTGAGGTGTTGGCCAGTATAGTAGCAGGCCATGGCTCTTGAAGTCATACACGTTTGAATTCTAATTCATATCTATTCTCAAAACCCATGACCTGGAGCGGAAAGTTTCTACGTACTGTAAACCATGGTGTTGTTATTGCTTATAATTGCTAAGAATACACTTACCACAACAGATTTTCTCTGGAAGTTTATGTTGTTGATGCAGACGACCTGATGGGTTGTACATTAAAGAATAAAGAAAATAATTCAGTTATTAAACAATGCATAATTCAATCCCAGTGTAAACAAGAACTGTGTTCTAAGCAGCTCAAAATCATACTTATTTTTCATGTTAAAACCCTAGAAATTAGGGTAACTTGTTCATTTAAAATTCAGCAACAGCCACGAAAATAAATTTTTTGGACAAAAATGCAATTTAAAAAAAAGATACGTTAAACTGCAAGGGGCAGTAAATCTGCTGAAATTACCTTGTCATTCAAAACATTTTCGCCCTACAAAACTGTGGGCAGCTTCCAGTTTCCCACTAGGCTTTCCAGGCCCACTAAGTCAGTTTCAAGCGATCACTGAAACTAAGTAATTTTAACTAATGAAAACCAAACCTAGGAGAAGTGTTAGTCGCTCAGCCGTGTCCATTCTGTGACCCCATGGACTGTAGCCTGCCACGCTCCTCTGTCCAAGAGATGCTCCAGACAAGAATACTGGAGTGGGTAGCCCTCCCCTCCTCCAGGGCATCTTCCCGACCCAGGGATCAAACCCAGGTCTCCCGCATTGCAGGCGGATTCTTAACCGTCTGAGCCACCCGGAAAGCCCCAGAAGAAAGGGAGATGCAGAAAAAAATACTTATAATTTATACGGCCTTGGGCTTTCAAAGCCCTTGTCTCCTTTCTTCCTATTCATTCTGGCGGGGTCAGAGCCAGTCGGCGGCATGAAGGGGCCCCGCGGAGCTCGGCTTCCCGGCCTCCGGGCGGCGGCGGGGCATCACCGGCCTTGGGCACCCGACGCTCGCTGTTCCTGCACGCTCCCAACAGTCACGCCCCAGTGGGGGCGCCCTCGGCTCCACGCCCGGCCCTGCCCGATTCGCCGCGGCCGCCCTTCACACTCGCTCGGGGGACTCGGCTAGTCCGTCGTCTCCGCCGAGGGCCTGTCACGGAGACGCTCCCCACAGCAGCGTCCAACGGCGCCCACCAGCCGACATCTTTTTTGTCACCTCTGACCCCCTGACGTCAGCGGAAGTAGGGCAGCGCTGAGGCGGCAGCCGGAAGTCTTGTTGGCCGTGGGCAGGGCTTGGCGAGCAGCGGGCTTTGCGTTTGCTTTTTAATGTGCAGGCGGCGGCTGAGAACCGTTGAAGCTGAGCAAACTTGACAGATATTTTGTGGATGACGCGAGCACAGCAGGACGGAAAGGCGAAACATTAAATTTTAGAGGAATAAAGATGTAGCGCAAAGACTGAAAAGCACGGGGATGAGGTTTTCAAAGTGCCAGGGGCCAGGACGTAGGAAACCAGGAGGCGTCCCTCCTGCTGTGTAAAAAGAACCCTTAACTCACCGGAGCTGTGACTTAGGCTGGAAAAGACGAGATTACACCTCAAGGAGTCTAACTCGAACTCGAGTCCTCACTAGGCATTGCTGCCTCGGTATTTATTGGAAAATTAATTAAATAAGTGGATTATACAGATGTAGAATTACTGAAACACCGGACTATTTTGAAGTCATCTGCATTTCATGTGCATCAGAATAAAACGGTTGTAAATTCCAGTGACAGTTAAATCTTTGTTAATTGTGGATTATCCATTAACTTTTTTTTAACTTTGGACCAGGTTTAACCCTTCAAACTATCCTGATGACAAGTTCATTAGCTAAAATTAATTTGAACTTTGGTCTAAAGAAAAACACACTAGGAAGATAAAGATGTAAAATAACTTTATCAAGCATTCCAAAACCAGAAATTACTTGTAGTTTTTGAGTATTACCTGTGTCAGTATCCTTCATTATAGGATTATAAACTATTGTTAGTATTCTTCACAGGGGATTAGTATTGAAAGGGTCTTCTTGAATTACAACCTTTTTAATACCATTTTGCATGGAAGATGGAGAATATTTAGCAAGATAGATGCAATTGGGTTAAAAAGAGGTCACTGGGTTAAGGAAAGAATGGGAGGCAAATAAGCAGTGAAGTAGTACACAGACTTTCATCCCAAAGAGCGTATCTGAGGTAGGAGGTAGACAGGCCCCTGGGCTGGGCAGCTGGCGTCTGTCAAGTGTAGAAAAACTGAAGCTTTGTCTTCCCCGCGCTCCAAGGACAAAGCTAGTTGCAGAAGCTGAGCTCTGCTGGAATAGAGGTAAGACGACCATTCCTGAGGTCAAGGAAACTGCCTGACTGCACAGGTGCAAAGAGGCCCCTTGGAGGTAAAAACGGGAGGCAGGGCACCGAGACTCCACTAGTCTCTGTGGTGCAATCCATCTTTAGCAAAAAGTTGCGCTTGGACCTTAGAGCACCTCATGTCCGGAGAACACATCAGATGTGGGGAAAGAAGATGATGGACCAAAGGAAAACAAAGACCAGGAAGAACTGTCCTATAGAAGTGATTTAAGGCACCTTTACTGTGCTCCTGCCCATTAGGGAGGACGACACCCTTTCTTTCTGTGTGTATTTCTGCCTTACTCTGTCTTAAACTGTCTGTCTCTGTGCTCCCCCACTTGTTATACTGTTATCTCTGAAAATAAACTTTGTACCTGTATTTAGTTTTTGCCTCCTCAAAACATTTTTGTTTTCAAAGGAGGCGACAGCCAGGGGTACTTTACTTCTTGCCTCTAGCCCCTGGTGCTTCCCATGTCTCAAACAGTGAAGAATCCACTTGCAATGCCAGAGACCTGAGTTCAACCCCTGGGTTGGGAAGATCCCCTGGAGAAGGAAATGGCAATCCACTCCAGTGTTCTTGCCTGGAGAATCCCATGGACTGAGGAGCCTGGAGGGGCTACAGTCCATGGGTTCGAAGAGTCGGATACAACTAAACGACTAACACTTTCAATTTCACTTTCTAGCCCCTGGTGGACTAGCAGCTTGGATTCTCAGTTTCTTATTCAGGCTACCCAGATTTGATTCCGGGGCAGGGAACCAAGATCTCTCTCAGGACCACTCACTGTTGTCTTTCTGAGATCATATCTACAGCAGCCAGGGGAACAGGAGCCATTAGCATCAATACAAACAACTACCTTAAATAACTGATAGCAGCATGTGATTTCCTGTTTTGGTGGAAGGTCAAAAGTAGAGGGGAACTCACTTGGGAAATGGTATTTAAGTAAATAATTCTCTTCTAGGAAATTATTCGTATTTAGTTCTCTGAAAACTTTCAAATTTATTAATCACTAGAATGTCAAATCCTAATTAAAGAAATGCAATTTTCAATATAAAAAACCAAACCTGTTACTCTATAAATGAACTCATATAGACTGCCAAGATATACTAAATGTAGAAAGTAACACTTTTGTCCTTGTTTACACTGTGTACATGAAACAAACATATCCTTAAAGACATAAAATATCCTATCACCTTTAAGAAAAAAGAGCAGTAGTTTTAAAATACTTAAGATGAGTCGAAAAGGCCTCAAAGCATTAGGTTTTTCAAAGTCTGCTATACAAATACATAAAAAAAACACTTTCTTATATCCAGCAACTTTAGTCCCAAAGAAAAACCTTGTTCTTTTTAAGAAATGGGTCTTCTTGAGTTATAAACTTTGACACCATTTTGCATTGAAGATCGAGCATATTTTGTGAGTAGTGCACCAATGGTTAGCTTCTCTCCACACAAATCTCTGTGGGAACGATAAAAAAATTAATGAACAAAATAAAACCAAAAAAATGAACATCACAAATAGTCTAGGGAGCATAACATGATATTCACAGCACTAGTTCTTTATATCTTTCTCCCCTAAGTCCACCTTTCCAACAAACATAAGGGTATGTATTTGTGGGAGAGATAGGTGTAAAGAGAGGTTACTAAGCCATAACTGAACTAGATATATTACACGTATATATTATCGACAACCTTCGTGGTAAGGGTGTGAGTCATGTATTATCTAACCCCATGTTAGATATAAGAAAACTGAGGCTGGGTAAAGAGAAGAGAGAGGCCCCAAGAGGCCCAGTGAGGAAATGGTAGGGTTTGTTAGTGGATTTTGGGTCAGTCTGGCAAGCAGTAACTTCAGGGTGAACTTATGAATTCTGACTTTTCCCCAAATGTTTTAAACTAAGGCAGCAGGCAAGAAAGAAGGTGGCCATTAGAGAGGAATGCTTGCCTTACAGGCACAGGAGGGATCACGGCAGACTGTCCCTCTGAGAGCTGCAGTGTGCTAGAAGAGCGGAGAAGTGGTTCTAGACACAGCAGAAAGGAAGAGAGATGACACACACCCTGCCAGCCACATCAGTACTCATGCAGGATGAGAAGAGCAGGGCCAGCCAGGACTTGGGAAAGCTGGGAAGGAAGCAGCCATCCAGGAAGACACAAGCAACACTGAAACCCTGTGCCGCCTGTCAGAAAAGGACAACCCTCAAAACCCATCTGTAGTAAAGCACTCACTGAATATATGGAGCGATATCTTCTTCTGTCCACTTCTCTCTCAGAGAGAACAGGCTACTGAAACGCTCCTGATCCCCCTCAGGCAAGTCTTCTGCTTTCAACAGAAATATGATTTCCGGTCTTGACTGTCTATCCACCAAGGCCAAACCCTGTAAGAGACGAGAAAAAGGAGAGCTCAAGTAATGGTCTAATGTTAAAGAAAAAATGCCTCGTTCTTTTCCCTTATGTTGAGCTCAGCCCGAGGTGTTTAAAACCTCAGCACCGTGAAGCTGAGCAGCTTACCCTCTTCATAAAGAGAGCACCTCTGAGCAGCCACTTCCCTTCCCTTCTAGAATCTGGCTTTTACCACCACCAGCCTAGTTCTAAAGCTCACTGTGAGCTGTCACTGCCAAGCCCACGGGCCCTTTATTGGATTCCTCTCACCAGCTCCCTTACTTCATTAGTATTGCTCACCTCTTCCTCTTTAAGCCTGCATCACGATTTCATACCTTTTCTCCTGACCTGATGTTTTAATTCCCTGGGCCCCGAGACCACCCCTCTAACTGTTTCACTGGCACTATCCTGGGACTCCATCCACCACTGACTCACTTGCTAACGACTGTAATATTTGCACTCCACCTCAAATCCTTCGTCCAAGCACCAGACCTCTTCAGCTGAACTTATATACGAACTCATTGTGCCTGCTGCCCAAACCTGCTCTAAGTTCCACTATCCCAGGAAGCCTAGGAAGTGAAGGTTCCAGTCGTGTCCGGCTCTGCGACGCCATGGACTATACAGTCCACGGAATTCTTCAGGCCAGAACCGCGGAGTGTGTAGCCATTCCCTTCTCCAGGGGATCTTCCCGACCCAGGGACTGAACCCAGGTCTCCCGCATTGCAGGCGGATTCTTTACCAGCTGAGCCACGAGGGAAGCCCAGGCATCAACCTAACTGCAAATGAGCCCAAAAGATCTTACTGAGGTGACAAATGTTCTAAAACTAGACTGTGGTGGCTGGAAACTCATTAAATCTACTACAAATCCTTTACAAACGGGCGGACTGTGATATGTAAATTATACTTCAATTAAGTGGGGTTTGTGGGGTTTTTGCTTTGTTTTTTTAAAGGATTTTTGTGATGGATTGAATGTGGAGTGCACTCCTCAGGCAGGGAAATAAATCGTCTCCACATTCAGTTCCAACACAGCCTTCCTTTGACCTCGAAACCTGCGGAGTCATGGAGGGAGTCACGTCGCCCCTACCTTCAGCTGATCCAGCCTGGTCGTCATTCCTTCCGGAACACTCTGTTGCCATACTTCGTGAAACTCAGCGAGATTGAATTTCACTGCGTTCTGAAGTAGCATCTGTGCTGTAGCTCTGCATATCTTATCTGCACTCAGTTCAAAATAAACTTCACCTAAGGACAGGGCAGCAGACGGCGTCACACTGTCTTCTGAGCTGCACCACCGTCCCCTTTCCCTCACTGCAAATTCCCAGAAGGAATCACACACAACTCAGCTCCCAGCCCCCCGTGGAGATCTGAGTTTTAACAGGAAGACACTTCAAAAGGTATGCCAAGTTTTACACACCAAGTTAAAACACCCATTAAAATACTCTCCCAATCTCACCTTCCTCTGTGTATTTCTTTCCATAACATTTAAGACAGTGTTCAATCATTTCCCTGAAAAAGTTTAAACACTTATTTGAAAAGTTTTCACAATTTTATGCATTAACTTTCAAACGCTACTGCTAACTATAAACTAAGATATAAATCTGAAATACTGGGACTTCCCTGGAGCACAAGTTTGATTCCTGGTCAGGAAACTAAGATCCAACATACTATGTGGTAGAGCCAAGAAACTTTAAAAAATAAAAACTAAAATATACTGGAAAGCTATGATGTGCCAGGCTCCATGTTAAATATTTTTATACAAATCATGTGAGCATACATTTATTATAAAATAACATATAATTATTTATTTATATTTTTAATGGCAGGAAAAAAAGTGACACATTTATTCACTCCAGTGACCCAAATTCCCAAGTCCTTTTTAGTTGTATATTTTTTAGATTTCTATGCGATATTAATATATAAAATGAGTTTATGCCCTGGGTTTAGTCCTACCCTGGATAATAATTTTCTTTCCCTTTAAGAAAATCTGGAAGGATGGGGAATAAATACTTACTCTGGCTCCAATGGTCCAAGTTCCTGAAGGCATGTATTCAAAGGAACTTTGCTAAAAGACCAAGATTCGGAATCCACAAGCTGAGTTATATGATTCAGAAGTTTCATCTCATAATCAAATTCAAGAATCCTCCAATAACCTATAAATTCCCAAAGTTAAATTTACCAAAGAACATTCATTTTAATTTAAACATATTTAATTTAAACAAATGAACTGACTGATAAGACTGATACAGTAGCAGTATACTCTTGCCCACTGCCAAAAAGAGACATGGTAAGTCTTAGCTTTCTTGATAAACAATGCTTCTGTTCCGGCTTTTCTCCCAATCGTTGCAAACTCTGTCAAGGGAGGGCAGGTGGTTTTTAAAGGGTACTTCCCACATGACCAACACTTTGACTTTTTTTTCAAGTGCTTTAATCTTCAATTACCTCCTAATAATCTTGTTCTAAATGAATGGGGAATCCGGCAGCTGGTGCGGCCATTTTCTGAGAAGGTCACACAGATGAGCTGCAGGTCTCGGGCCGGGTATTCCACACGGAGACCTCGGCAGCAGGGCGCTGGCACGGTTACACCCTCCCGCCAGCCACCTTGCAGAGGCGGTCTCGTGCTCATGAAGAAGTCCAGTTCGAGGACTTCCCTGGTGGTCCAGTTGTCAGGAATATGCCGTGCAATGCAGGGGATGTGGGCTGGATCACTGGTCGGGGAACTAAGATCCCGCATGCCGAGAAGCAACTAAGCCTGCACGCCACGAGAGAGCCTGTGTGCGCCGACTGCTGAAGCCCGAGCAGCGCAGCGGGAAAATCTGCACCACAGCGAAGGATCCCGTTAAGAGGCAGTGAAGACCCACAAGCCGCACAACTAAGACGCCAGGCAGCCAAATGGAAGAACAAATATGTTTTTAAAAAAGAAGTCTAGCTCATTCACGAGATAACAGACTCAGGTACGAAGTGGACCAGCAGCAAAACAAAGGCTGGGTGCCAGATATATTTCCCAATTCCTGTGAAAGCTGATGAAATGCCACCTTATGACTGAAGACACCGCCACGGTCCCCGGAGAGACAGATCAGGTGCACACCCATCATTCCCAAGGGAGCGTGCGCCTACTCTTATTCGGAATAAGCGTGGAACATTCCATGCTAAGACACGGTATTTTTAACAAAAGCGAAATTCCAGAGTTTTGCTTTGTTCCTTTGAAATGTGCTTGTTCCGAAGCCAAACTGAAAAAGACAACTAGGAAAAAAAATCTGCGCATCCCACCACCCCATGCACACACCAAAATACTATCCATTCCCATGCAATAAACAAAAATGCAGAGGGCTGCATTAACTCCATTTTTCTATTCTCAACCTTAATGTTCATGGTATCCCTATACCATAGTAATTAGAAGCAGGCATCCACAACTAAAAACTCAAGGAACCACAACAAAGAACTAAGTGCTTCCAGTTAGTTCTAATGTCATGTGCAGCTGTTTTACTCAGCAGAATTGACCACAGAAGCTAATCTTGCTTGGAAGATTGTGAGTAAATTGAAAAGCGCATCCACCAAACAAAGCCAACTTCCTCGTTCCTCACACATGGGTGCAGAATTAAGCTGCTTCACTAGGCAAGTTTGAGAGGGGTAAGAGCTGCACACAAACATCTCCTCAAGTATGAATGCAGGCCCAAGCGTGGGGGGTGGGGAGGGGAGGGGCTGGGGGCTCCCGCTCCACCACTCCGGACCAGAAGAAAGTCAGAACGTTGCAGAAGATTCCGCTGGGCTACTCCATCAATCGCTTGCTGCTCCTGCTTTTACACAGGTTTATCGTACAAACTACTTCACACTCATGCAAAAGCATGTTGAGTGATCACAAGAATAAATGTATCTTCCAAGCAGTTTGGAAATACAATGAGTTTATTCTGAACCAGGAGTTCAAGTACCTGGTTTGATGCCTCATCCTGTCACTATCTCGACATGGAGCCCTGGACCAGTCTGTATCCCTTCCCAGGCCTCGGTTTCCTCACCTAGTAAAGACAACGAAGGGCACAGACTACCTGATATCTAAGACCTTTCCTGATCAAATGTGGCTCTTCCATTACCACTTAGTCCAAAGGAAAAGGCCTGTAAGGAGCAAATAAAGTCACTGGTCAGAGACTGACATCCTTGTTAAAGGTGATCACATGGAGTCTCTGCCCCACACCCCAGAACACATATATCGTCATCTCTGAGACCAGAAGAGGACTAAATAAACAGCATGCAACAGCGGTAAACACAGGGAGATGTAAAAAACCCCTTTCGTATCATACCCAACTCCACCACTGTTGGTAACAGAAAGTAACGCTACCTCCAATTTCACAGGCATTGAGAACTCGTAACTGGGTCATTATTTCTTCCTCACTTGCCTGAATTTGATCAAGCAAATCTTCAGTCGTATACTGAAACAAACAAACAAAAAACGCATTTTAGGACAAATAATTTTTTTCAAACATTGAATTTTGAGGGAATAAATACATAGGACAGATAAGGCAATATTTATAGCTTAATTTCTTCAGTTAATATGTAATGATAACTAGACAAAATCAGAGAATATCTTAGAAGAAAACAGCAAATCTTTGTGATGTTGAATGTGGCGATCATTTTAGATATGATGCTGAAAACACAAGCAATAAAATGTAAACACATTATGTGGATTTCATCAAAATGAAAATCTCTGTACATTTACCACAATTTTTTTATAAAAAGTCAAGAAAGTGAAACAATAACTCATAAAATAGAAGAAAACATTTGCAAATTTTATCCATCAAAAGAGCTTGTGTTTAGATTACATAAAAAGCTCTCCAACAATTTAATAATAAAGTAATCCACCTGAAAATTGGCAAAGGATTTCTGTATAAGCATTCTATACAAAGCCCATAGACAGTGACCACAGGACCCACCAATTTCACTCTTTAGTGTGTGTGTGTCTACACATAGCCAAGAAAAATTAAAAATAGGTTCACTAGACACTTGAACATGAGTGTTCACAGCAGAGTTACTCCTAATAAGCAACTAATCAACAACAATAAAAAAGCAGAAACTACCCAAATGTTCATCAACTGATGAATGGATGCATAAAATATGGTATATCCATAAGACGGGGTATTACTCAGCAATGAAAAGTAATGGATGAACCTTGAAGACAGCATGCTAGGTTAAAGATGCCTGCCAGAAAAGGCCACTTATCTGATTCTGTTCATACAAAATGCCCAGAAGAAGGAAATCAAGAGACAGAATGCAGATTACTCGCTGCCTAGGGCTGAGGTGGGAGAGAGGAGAGAAAGGCGGGACTGAGGGGTCAGGGCTGAGGAGAGAGAGAGAGAGGCAGGACTGAGGGGTCAGGGCTGAGGAGAGAGAGAGAGAGGCAGGACTGAGGGGTCAGGGCTGAGGAGAGAGAGAGAGAGAGGCAGGACTGAGGGGTCAGGGCTGAGGAGAGAGAGAGAGAGAAAGGCAGGACTGAGGGGTCAGGGCTGAGGAGAGAGAGAGAGAGGCAGGACTGAGGGGTCAGGGCTGAGGAGAGAGAGAGAGAGAAAGGCAGGACTGAGGGGTCAGGGCTGAGGAGAGAGAGAGAGAGAAAGGCGGGACTGAGGGGTCAGGGCTGAGGGGGGAGAGAGAGAGAGAGAAAGGCGGGACTGAGAGGTCAGGGCTGAGGAGAGAGAGAGAGAGGCAGGACTGAGGGGTCAGGGCTGAGGAGAGAGAGAGAGAGGCAGGACTGAGGGGTCAGGGCTGAGGAGAGAGAGAGAGAGAGAAAGGCGGGACTGAGAGGTCAAGGCTGAGGGGGGAGAGAGAGAGAGAGAAAGGCGGGACTGAGAGGTCAGGGCTGAGGAGAGAGAGAGAGAGAAAGGCGGGACTGAGAGGTCAGGGCTGAGGAGAGAGAGAGGCAGGACTGAGGGGTCAGGGCTGAGGGGAGACAGAGAGAAAGGTGGGACTGAGAGGTCAGGGCTGAGGGGAGAGAGAGAGAGAGAGAAAGAGAGAAAGGCAGGACTGAGGGGTCAGGGCTGAGGAGAGAGAGAGAGAGGCAGGACTGAGGGGTCAGGGCTGAGGAGAGAGAGAGAGAGGCAGGACTGAGGGGTCAGGGCTGAGGAGAGAGACAGAGAGAGAAAGGCAGGACTGAGGGGTCAGGGCTGAGGGGGGAGAGAGAGAGAGAGAAAGGCGGGACTGAGAGGTCAGGGCTGAGGAGAGAGAGAGGCAGGACTGAGGGGTCAGGGCTGAGGGGAGACAGAGAGAAAGGTGGGACTGAGAGGTCAGGGCTGAGGGGAGAGAGAGAGAGAGAGAAAGAGAGAAAGGCAGGACTGAGGGGTCAGGGCTGAGGAGAGAGAGAGAGAGAAAGGCAGGACTGAGGGGTCAGGGCTGAGGAGAGAGAGAGAGAAAGGCAGGACTGAGGGGTCAGGGCTGAGGAGAGAGAGAGAGAAAGGCAGGACTGAGGGGTCAGGGCTGAGGAGAGAGAGAGAGAAAGGCAGGACTGAGGGGTCAGGGCTGAGGAGAGAGAGAGGCAGGACTGAGGGGTCAGGGCTGAGGAGAGAGAGAGAGAGAAAGGCAGGACTGAGGGGTCAGGGCTGAGGAGAGAGAGAGAGAGGCGGGACTGAGGGGTCAGGGCTGAGGAGAGAGAGAGAGAGAAAGGCAGGACTGAGGGGTCAGGGCTGAAGAGAGAGAGAGAGAAAGGCAGGACTGAGGGGTCAGGACTGAGGAGAGAGAGAGAGAGGCAGGACTGAGGGGTCAGGGCTGAGGGGGGAGAGAGAGAGAGAGAAAGGCGGGACTGAGGGGTCAGGGCTGAGGAGAGAGAGAGAGAGAGAGAAAGGCAGGACTGAGGGGTCAGGGCTGAGGGGAGAGAGAGAGAGAGAAAGGCGGGACTGAGAGGTCAGGGCTGAGGAGAGAGAGAGGCAGGACTGAGGGGTCAGGGCTGAGGGGAGACAGAGAGAAAGGTGGGACTGAGAGGTCAGGGCTGAGGGGAGAGAGAGAGAGAGAGAAAGAGAGAAAGGCAGGACTGAGGGGTCAGGGCTGAGGAGAGCAGAGAGAGGCAGGACTGAGGGGTCAGGGCTGAGGAGAGAGAGAGAGAGGCAGGACTGAGGGGTCAGGGCTGAGGAGAGAGACAGAGAGAGAAAGGCAGGACTGAGGGGTCAGGGCTGAGGGGGGAGAGAGAGAGAGAGAAAGGCGGGACTGAGAGGTCAGGGCTGAGGAGAGAGAGAGGCAGGACTGAGGGGTCAGGGCTGAGGGGAGACAGAGAGAAAGGTGGGACTGAGAGGTCAGGGCTGAGGGGAGAGAGAGAGAGAGAGAAAGAGAGAAAGGCAGGACTGAGGGGTCAGGGCTGAGGAGAGAGAGAGAGAGAAAGGCAGGACTGAGGGGTCAGGGCTGAGGAGAGAGAGAGAGAAAGGCAGGACTGAGGGGTCAGGGCTGAGGAGAGAGAGAGAGAAAGGCAGGACTGAGGGGTCAGGGCTGAGGAGAGAGAGAGAGAAAGGCAGGACTGAGGGGTCAGGGCTGAGGAGAGAGAGAGGCAGGACTGAGGGGTCAGGGCTGAGGAGAGAGAGAGAGAGAAAGGCAGGACTGAGGGGTCAGGGCTGAGGAGAGAGAGAGAGAGGCGGGACTGAGGGGTCAGGGCTGAGGAGAGAGAGAGAGAGAAAGGCAGGACTGAGGGGTCAGGGCTGAAGAGAGAGAGAGAGAAAGGCAGGACTGAGGGGTCAGGACTGAGGAGAGAGAGAGAGAGGCAGGACTGAGGGGTCAGGGCTGAGGGGGGAGAGAGAGAGAGAGAAAGGCGGGACTGAGGGGTCAGGGCTGAGGAGAGAGAGAGAGAGGCAGGACTGAGGGGTCAGGGCTGAGGAGAGAGAGAGAGAAAGGCGGGACTGAGAGGTCAGGGCTGAGGAGAGAGAGAGAGAGGCAGGACTGAGGGGTCAGGGCTGAGGGGAGACAGAGAGAAAGGTGGGACTGAGAGGTCAGGGCTGAGGAGAGAGAGAGGCAGGACTGAGGGGTCAGGGCTGAGGGGAGACAGAGAGAAAGGTGGGACTGAGAGGTCAGGGCTGAGGGGAGAGAGAGAGAGAAAGGCGGGACTGAGGGGTCAGGGCTGAGGAGAGAGAGAGAGAAAGGCAGGACTGAAGGGTCAGGGCTGAAGAGAGAGAGAGAGAAAGGCAGGACTGAGGGGTCAGGGCTGAGGGGGGAGAGAGAGAGAGAGAAAGGCAGGACTGAGGGGTCAGGGCTGAGGAAAGAGAGAGAGAGGCAGGACTGAGGGGTCAGGGCTGAGGGGGGAGAGAGAGAGAGAGAAAGGCGGGACTGAGAGGTCAGGGCTGAGGAGAGAGAGAGGCAGGACTGAGGGGTCAGGGATGAGGGGAGACAGAGAGAAAGGCAGGACTGAGGGGTCAGGGCTGAGGAGAGAGAGAGAGAGGCAGGACTGAGGGGTCAGGGCTGAGGGGGGAGAGAGAGAGAGAAAAAGGCGGGACTGAGAGGTCAGGGCTGAGGAGAGAGAGAGGCAGGACTGAGGGGTCAGGGCTGAGGGGAGACAGAGAGAAAGGCAGGACTGAGGGGTCAGGGCTGAGGAGAGAGAGAGAGAGAAAGGCGGGACTGAGAGGTCAGGGCTGAGGAGAGAGAGAGAGAGGCAGGACTGAGGGGTCAGGGCTGAGGAGAGAGAGAGAGAGAAAGGCAGGACTGAGGGGTCAGGGCTGAGGAGAGAGAGGGAGAGAGAGGTGGGACTGAGAGGTCAGGGCTGAGGAGAGAGAGGGAGAGAAAGGCAGGACTGAGGGGTCAGGGCTGAAGAGAGAGAGAGAGAGAAAGGCAGGACTGAGGGGTCAGGGCTGAGGGGGGAGAGAGAGAGGCAGGACTGAGGGGTCAGGGCTGAGGGGGGAGAGAGAGAGAGAGAAAGGCGGGACTGAGGGGTCAGGGCTGAGGAGAGAGAGAGAGAGAAAGGCAGGACTGAGGGGTCAGGGCTGAGGAGAGAGAGGGAGAGAAAGGCAGGACTGAGGGGTCAGGGCTGAAGAGAGAGAGAGAGAAAGGCAGGACTGAGGGGTCAGGGCTGAGGGGGGAGAGAGAGAGAGAGAAAGGCGGGACTGAGAGGTCAGGGCTGAGGAGAGAGAGAGGCAGGACTGAGGGGTCAGGGCTGAGGGGAGACAGAGAGAAAGGTGGGACTGAGAGGTCAGGGCTGAGGGGAGGGAGAGAGAGAGAGAGAAAGAGAGAAAGGCAGGACTGAGGGGTCAGGGCTGAGGAGAGAGAGAGAGAGAAAGGCAGGACTGAGGGGTCAGGGCTGAGGAGAGAGAGAGAGAGGCAGGACTGAGGGGTCAGGGCTGAGGAGAGAGAGAGAGAGAAAGGCAGGACTGAGGGGTCAGGGCTGAGGAGAGAGAGAGAGAGAGAAAGGCAGGACTGAGGGGTCAGGGCTGAGGAGAGAGAGAGAGAGGCAGGACTGAGGGGTCAGGGCTGAGGAGAGAGAGAGAGAGAGAGGCAGGACTGAGGGGTCAGGGCTGAGGAGAGAGAGAGAGAGAGGCAGGACTGAGGGGTCAGGGCTGAGGAGAGAGAGAGAGAGAAAGGCGGGACTGAGGGGTCAGGGCTGAGGGGGGAGAGAGAGAGAGAGAAAGGCGGGACTGAGAGGTCAGGGCTGAGGAGAGAGAGAGAGAGGCAGGACTGAGGGGTCAGGGCTGAGGAGAGAGAGAGAGAGGCAGGACTGAGGGGTCAGGGCTGAGGAGAGAGAGAGAGAGAAAGGCAGGACTGAGGGGTCAGGGCTGAGGAGAGAGAGAGAGAAAGGCAGGACTGAGGGGTCAGGGCTGAGGAGAGAGAGAGAGAGAAAGGCGGGACTGAGAGGTCAGGGCTGAGGAGAGAGAGAGAGAGGCAGGACTGAGGGGTCAGGGCTGAGGGGAGACAGAGAGAAAGGTGGGACTGAGAGGTCAGGGCTGAGGGGAGGGAGAGAGAGAGAGACAGAGAGAGAAAGAGAGAAAGGCAGGACTGAGGGGTCAGGGCTGAGGAGAGAGAGAGAGAAAGGCGGGACTAAGGGGTCAGGGCTGAGGAGAGAGAGAGGCAGGACTGAGGGGTCAGGGCTGAGGAGAGAGAGAGAGAGAGAAAGGCGGGACTGAGAGGTCAAGGCTGAGGGGGGAGAGAGAGAGAGAGAAAGGCGGGACTAAGGGGTCAGGGCTGAGGAGAGAGAGAGGCAGGACTGAGGGGTCAGGGCTGAGGGGAGACAGAGAGTAAGGTGGGACTAGAGGTCAGGGCTGAGGAGAGAGAGAGAGAGAAAGGCAGGACTGAGGGGTCAGGGCTGAGGAGAGAGAGAGAAAGGCAGGACTGAGGGGTCAGGGCTGAGGGGAGAGAGAGAGAAAGGCAGGACTGAGGGGTCAGGGCTGAGGGGAGAGAGAGAAAGGCGGGACTGACGGGTCAGGGCTGTGGAGAGAGAGAAAGGCGGGACTGAGGGGTCAGGGCTGAGGAGAGAGAGAGAGAGGCAGGACTAAGGGGTCAGGGCTGAGGGGAGAGAGAGAGAAAGGCGGGACTAAGGGGTCAGGGCTGAGCAGAGAGAGAGAGGCAGGACTGAGGGGTCAGGGCTGAGGAGAGAGAGAGAGAGGCAGGACTAAGGGGTCAGGGCTGAGGGGAGAGAGAGAGAAAGGCGGGACTAAGGGGTCAGGGCTGAGGAGAGAGAGAGAGAGAGAAAGGCAGGACTGAGGGGTCAGGGCTGAGGAGAGAGAGAGAGAGGCAGGACTGAGGGGTCAGGGCTGAGGAGAGAGAGAGAGAGAGAGAGAGAGAGAGAGAGAGAGAGAAAGGCAGGACTGAGGGGTCAGGGCTGAGGGGAGAGAGAGAGAGGCAGGACTGAGGGGAGACAGAGAGAAAGGCAGGACTGGAGGGGAGAGAGAGAGAGGCAGGACTGAGGGGAGACAGAGAGAAAGGCAGGACTGAAGGGTCAGGGCTGGGGTGGGGGGAGAGAGAAAGGCGGGACTGAGGGGTCAGGGCTGAGGGTGGGGAGAGAGAAAGGTGGGACTGAGGGGTCAGGGCTGAGGGGCGAGAGAGAGAGGCAGGACTAAGGGAACAGCTAAGGGGTAGAGTTTCCTTGGAGGGGTGATAAAAAATATTCTAAGCTTCATCAAGTTTATGATCACACAGCTCTGTGAATGCACTAAAAGCTGTTGAATTACACACTTTAAAATAAGCAAATTGCTTGGTATATTAACCAGATCTCAATAAGGCCAATGACAAAGAAAAAAAGTCTATCAGTTGAACTTCTAGTACAAATATGGTGGAGGGTGGTAGGGGACAGAAGAAATGAGATTGACAAAATATTGATAAATGGTCAACAGAGTCAACTTATCAGTCTTTCTGCTTTGGGGTATGTGTGAAATTTTCATAATATGAACTTTAAAAAGAATTTCACCATTAAACAATGTCACTATAGCTCTATTTTTAAAATTCCAATTAAAAAATGAAAATAACAGTCTTACTTTTAAGTGACTGGAATCCTTTTCTTTTTCACTGTCAGGTCCTTCATAGGTATTTTCCATCAAAAGTTTCTTTAACTTCTTTAGTTTAGGTCTACATCTTCTTAATTCCCAGTAATTGTTAGTAAAACCAAAGATCTAGAGATTACAAATACATCATAATCTTTTAGGAGCCATCCTAAAAGAAAATGTCATACAAAATTTCATCCAACACATCTATCCTCCATTAGAAGCAAGAAAAGGGAGCCAAGTCATTCTGCTTTCTGCCAAGAAGGTGCTCATCCAGCCGTGTGCTTGACCTGGCTACACATCTGCAGGTCACATCTGTTTAAACCTCAATCGAGAAAACACTGCCAACATAATGAGAATGGATAATTAAGCTTCTTCCTTTGTCATTGTTGTTCAGTGGCCAAGTCACGTCCGACTCTTTGCAACCTCATGGACTGCAGCACACCAGGCTTCCCTGTTCTTCATGATCTCCCAAAGTTTGCTCAGATGCATGTCCATTGAGTCGGTGATGCCATCCAACCATCTATTCCTGTCACCCCCTCCTCCTGCCTTCCACATCTCAAGTGTATTCTGGAAACTTAAGAATGTGCCCAGAAAAGAATGACCAGGAAGGTGCCAATTCTGCAAACCAGGTGGAAACAACATAGAAAGAATATATTTAGGCTGAAAAACAGAAAGTAAAGAAGGGACATTATCATAGTCTTCAAATTATGCATAGATATTAAAGTGAAGAGGGGGCACTCTTGCTCTGTATTGCTCATGATGCTAAAATTAAGCAGATGTTAAAAAAGAAAGACTTCTATTCAATGCAAGAGCTTCCACTGGGTAGAACAGCAACTAATTCCTTACTGGACTTGAGAAACAGTGAGGCCTGTCACTCAAATCAAGTGATAGTGGCTAAAGGACGGATAAATTGCTATTATCCTTCTCTTCAATCCCCAGGATTTGCCCCATCAACACCAGCACGTAGTAGGTGCTCAATAATTGTTTCACATGAAAGAAATGGAAAAAGGCTGAAATGGATTCTCTCTGGGATCCACTGTAGCTCTAAGACGGAAGGGCAGGGGACGCATCCACTCTCAAACCAGTAGAAGCCGTGACTGATGAGACAAGGTCCAGAGCCGGGCAGAGATGCCGCAGAGTCTGAGCAAAGCTCAAGGACCAAAACAGAAAGACCACTGAGCTTGTGCACAGTTCACAAAGAGGCACCCTGCCCGCTGGACCCAGCACACAGATGTTGGGGTGTGCCTTTGTGTTGAGGGAGAAAAGGAAGTTTAGTATGGACTTTTAATTAGCTGCCAACATTGAAAAATAAGATTTTGCCCCCTAAAACCTCAATTTTAAGCTTCACTTGGACAAAAGAAATCGGAAGGTCTGGCAATGCTGGGCGGCTTTCCCACAGGCCATGAAGCCAACTTACCTGCCTGAGGCCTGTGCACCCCAATCCCTATGCACAGACCCCCATTCCCTATGACCCCCACCGCCATTTATCAATGCAGTCTGCTCTGCTCAGGCGCATTCCTTACCGAGCCTCTTTAAGCATCTGAAGTGCAACCCGAAGATTCTGAAACTCTGGCTAGCAGGTCTCTGTCCCAGAGCACAGAACTCCGGTAAGAAGAGCCCAAAGGCACTCACGGATGTTTCTACCCTCTCCAAAACACCCACAAGACAGGTAAAAATAACATCTTTTCCAAAAGGATGAAAGTCAAAATTTATAGCTCCTTATAATCAAAGACATAACTCTACAGAAACCAAAGTAGGATATTTACTGGCAGTTCCTCTGTGCCAGCAATATCATATGAACCACTCACGTGTCCCAGTATTTTCCCTTATTTCTATTCCAATTCTATTTTTAGGAAGTAGTTGGTTTGAAGTTAATCTAATAGAATTAAGGTGCTTTGACTATATATGTGTAACTATCTAGCCAGGATAGAAAATTTTGTTTGGTATTTGCCATCAGTAGTCTCCAAAGTAATTAAGAATTTGTTATACATGGCTATGGACAGTAAAGAACTAAACCAACTTCAAAGGTGAGAAACACACTTCCTTCAAAAACCTATTTTTTCATTTCCCTATGTCACCTGATGCACTAGCTATAGTTTGAGGAAATCACCTTTCAAAGCCTATCCACAGCAAAACTCCCTGAAAATAGGTAAAACTTTTAGAATGAGTCACCTCACAGTAAATTTTCTATATTACAGAAAACGCTCAGCTTATCTGGGACTTAAACATCACATTGGGAAAATAAAGACAACTTTACATGACTCCAAACAAAAATAATGCTGAGAAATTTCCAACTTGATCAGAGAAATTTTCAGATTCTCTGTGATTATACATTTCACACCTTCAGTTTTTTTTTCGGCCTCATTGCATGGGAGATCTTAGTTCCTGAAGCAGGAACCGAACCCACGCTGCCTGCACTGGGAGCACAGAGTCTTAACCATGGGACCACCAGGGAAGTCCCACACTTCAATAATTTAGTTTTCAATTAAAAGCATGTTGTCTTTTTCAAATAAGTCAGGAAATAGAAGACAGTACCTCGGTGTGAATAATGTTACAGTGTGTTTCTTCCATCTTCAGCTGCTCTGGAATTTTACAACCAGGAATAAAAAGCAACATATTGGAAGTGTCTGCTACTTTCAAATCGTATGTTTTGTCTTCACTGCACAGAACAGCCTGCTCATCCTTATCACCACGAATCACTAGACTGCAGGAAAATGGGGAAAAAAAATACATGACTTATTGAGACACTAATGGCCAGCCTCATTACACACAGTTCCAAAACCCTCTAGGTTTCCAGAATTTAAAACGAAGTCTTGAGGCTATGTCTGGCCCCTTCTCTCACAGGGCACCCCCCCCCCACCCCCCCAATGATGGGCGCCACAGGGCAAGGACTGGGCCAATTGACTCACTAAGGAAAAATAACTCCATACAGGGGAAAAAAAAAAAAACCACACCAAATCCAAAGAGGCCAAATGTCACCACATGGCTTCTTTGTGTAAACCGCTGGGAAGAGTATCTGTAACCTGCAGTCAAGATGTCACAGCTTTCTAAAATCACTAAAGCAATACTTTTCAAATTTATGAATACTCATGTTAGGGAACCCTGTTAAAAAGCAGGTCAGGATGCAATTCGTCTGGGATGGGACATAGGATTCTGCATTACTAATAAGCTCCCTGATGAGGACTATGCTGCTGGCCATGGTATCCACCCAAGTGGTCCTTCCTGTTTTGGCCTGAGCAACCCCTCACCATCAAATGAGCACATCCTGGCCTAATCATCACCTACGCTGCAAAGAAACTGGGACCTTGAGAAAAGAAGGCCACAGTGCTGAAAGAAAAATGTGCAATGGGTATGTTTACAAACTAGAGTAAACGATGTCTCTGACAAGGGGTCACAGGTAGAAAAAAAGCAAGAAGGAAGAGGGTAAGGTCAAAAGTGAGAAGGGGGAAGGAGAAAAATAAATGATGAAGATAATGGAGATAACAAAAACGGAGTTGATTCTGGCAGTCTTCCTTGTCTATATTTAATCCTCCTGTACCCAATTCACTTCTTTTAAATAGGTAATAAAAACCGTGAACTAAAAGACTGAATTTAAAAAAAAAAAAACTAATCTTTCATTTAAGTGAAAATAAAGGGTGTTGTTTTTTTTTTAAAGCTTCCTGGTGCTAACAACATTTAAGAGTCCCAAGTACCTACTCTTAACATATATGTCCACATTGCACCATCTCTTTCAAATATTTTGTTTAAAACAACAACCCCTTCCCTCACCAAAAAAATTAAAAAAAAAATTTTAACATTCCTTTTCATTCTGGTTTTTGCCAGCTAGATTAACTATAACTGGACAAAGCTTGTGCTCACACCTTAAGTCTTTTCTCAAAGTCCTGCCAACTCAGCTGGGATGAAAACCCACAGTGATGCTTCTCCCTCAGTTCCCTGAGAGATCCTTCACTACTAGCATCTGAAGACTAGCCTATAATAATGTTTGATGAGTAAAGTAAGAAAAGTGAAAGACAGCCTAAAGGCGGCATAATTTAAAAAGAAAACAAATTTATTTAACTGCACCAGGTCTTAGCCGCAGCTTGTGGGATCTAGATCTTTGATCAGGGATTGAACCTCAGCCCCCTGCCTTGGGAGCGCAGAGTCTTAGCCACTGGACCACCAGGGAAGTCCCCAATTTTTAAAAGCCTATAAGATAACAAAGGTGAGTCACTCTAGTTGTGTCCGACCCTTTTAGAGCCCATGGTCTGCAGCCCACCAGGCTCCTCTGCGCATGGGATTCTCCAGGCAAGAGTACTGGAGTGGATTGCCAAGCCCTCCTTCAGGAGATCTTCCCAACCCGGGTCTCCTGCATGGCAGGCAGATTCCACCACCTGAGCCACAACTACATAATAAAATACAGGTGTGAGAGGAACAGCAGTGCAGAAGAAAGTTAAACAAGAACCCTAACTACTCATGTTCAGGGGCTGCACAAAGTTGAGACAGAGAATGGACTTCTCCTGCATGTTTTTTAACCCATGGTCTTGCAGCAAATGTCTAGGGGACCTAGAATTAGAAAACAGCTTTAGATTATCAGGAGTGACCCCAAGCAAGTTGTTTGTTAGTTAGTTTTTTGAGGGCCTTCCACAATTACCAAATCTGTTTTTTAAAAAGTTTTAAACCTCTCCCCGCAAAGTCCTGGCTACACCCTGGGTAAAATAAACCTAAGGAGAAGGCGAGAGGAACTCTGTAATTTACAATGTTGACACCATCACCAGGCGTCACGGTAAAACGCAGGTGCTCGGCGCACGGCCTGGGAGCGCGGTTCTGGAACAGCCCCCGACTTCCGCGGACGCCGCTTCCGGACTCGCGCCCGCCAGCAGCCGCCGGCGCAGCGCGGGCTCCTCTCTGCGCCCCCGCCCCCGGGTCTCTTCTCCGGCCCCCTACTCGCTGTGTCGCCCCCGACCCTGTCCCCCGGCCCCCTCTCTGCACACCCCCCCGTCCCCCGGCCCCCTCTCTGCCCCCCCGTGTCCCCCCACCTGCGCCCGGCGCGCAGCTGCGCGCACAGCGCGGGCTCCAGCTCCAGCAGGCACACGTCGCCGGCGGCCGCGGGCCCGAAGCGCAGACAGTGCGCGGCGGGCAGCAGCTCGGCCGCGTCCAGCTTGGCGGTCTGCAGCGTCGCGTCCACCTCGGCGCGGGTCCTCTCCATCGCCGCCGGGGGCCGGGGGGCGACCGAGCCGGGCCCCCGCCTCGGGAAACCGCGCGGGAAGAGCGCGCCGCCGAGGGGAGCGCGGCCTCAGTGGGCGGGCCAGGGACGGGGCGGGGCGGCGGCGCAGGCGCGCCCGGGCGGGGCCGAGACCCCGGGGGCGGGGGGAGACTGCGGCCCGGCCCCTCCGCTGCGCCCGCGCCGGCTTTCCGCGGGGCCCCCGCTCTCCTGGCCGTCGGCACAGCGGCGGGCGGGCCTTGACACACGCGCTTTGCCCGCATCTTTGCATGAATCTTTCATCACGTGAAGAGCTCCCCTGGTGGCTCAGCTGGTAAAGAATCCGCGTGCGTTGCGAGAGATGGGGGTTCGATCCCTGGGTTGGAAAGATCCCGTGGAGAAGGGAAAGGCTGCCCACTCCAGTATTCTGGCCTGGAGGACCCCGTGGACTGTGCAGTCGGACACGCCCGAGCGACCCTCGCCGACCTAAGCTTCCCCGCGTGCGCGCTGCCGCCCAGCCGGGCCGGACTCTGAGTGACCGGTGGCCGGGCCCCAGGCCCCTCTGCCCACACTGCTGTGCTGGGCTCAGGTGGGCTCCCGATGCGCTCTTGAGGACAGCAGATGTGACCTTCTCCGAGATGCAGAATGCGAACATCTTCCGTTGCTTGGGGGTTTCCGTTCTGAAAAGAGCCCAGAGATTCGGTGCTCCCTTGCGGGGGAACCTGGACTCTGCCCCAGGGCCGCGCTGTTGCTTCTTGGCTGTTCTCTTGTCTTCATCCGCTCCCATCCCCAGTTAGCACCTGTTGGAAAGGCCTCCCTGCCCAGGAGCTCCACGGAGTCCTGCTCCGTTTCGCCTTCCTTCACCACGGCCTGGTGCCAGTGGATTGGCTCTTCTACACGGCAGGCGAGCAGTTCGATTTGGTAACGAGATCACCCAGCGAGAGTGGGATGTGCAACTGAAGGTGCCGCTGCTGCTGCCAAGTCGCGTCAGTCGTGTCGGACTCTGTGCGACCCCATAGACGGCAGCCCACCAGGCTCCTCCGCCCTGGGATTCTCCAGGCAAGAACACTGGAGTGGGTTGCCGTGTCCTTCTCCCGACTGAAGATGAAACCTCACCATATATTTGTGGTGGAAGCCTTTCAAAATATGCCTCCCTGGAGGAAAGAATTGCACATGGTAGGAGAAACAGAATAAAGCAATGTCCTGCAAAGCACATTATCTTCTATTTACTTAAAAATCACTTCGGACAAGGAAGTTCTTATTCATAGCAAGATTTATTTCATTCTATGGGAACTACAGTAGCTTAGATGTTTAACGTCACATCTTTCATTAAACTTTTTAGGCTTTGCTTGCAGAACAGTTCAGATTTTCCCCACTAGGGAGGTAGTGTTTCATGTTACACAGAGTAGCCTGATTTGCCATTTTGTTCTCCTTTGCTTTAGAAAAGAGAAAAAACATCTATTAAATATTTACTGAGTCAAGCACTCCGCTCTGTGTCCCATACACATTCCCTTCTACTCTCCTGGAGGAGGGAAAGGCTACGTGCTCCAGCATTCCGGCCTATAGAATTCCATGGACTGTAAAGCCAGTGGGGTCGCAAAGAGTTGGACACAGCTGAGCAACTTTCACTTCACCAACTTCATCCTTGCAATAATCTAGGTCAGATCATGGCATTCTGCTGTTCAAAATCCACCAGTGGATTCTGATCACTTTCAGAATGTGTTGTCATTGTTGTTCAGTGCTAAGTTATATGCAAAGCGTTTGACTGTGTGGATCACAACAAACTGTGGAAAATTCTGAAGGAGATGGGAATACCAGACAACCTGACCTGCCTCTTGAGAAACCTGTATGCAGGTCAAGAAGCAACAGTTAGAACTGGACATGGAGCAACACACTGGTTCCAAATAGGAAAAGGAGCACGTCAAGGCTGTATATTGTCACCCTGCTTATTTAACTTATATGCAGAGTACATCATGAAAAACGCTGGGCTGGATGAAGCACAAGCTGGAATCAAGATTGCAGGGAGAAATATCAATAACCTCAGATATGCAGATGATACCACCCTTATGGCAGAAAGTGAAGAGGAACTAAAAAGCCTCTTGATGAAAGTGAAAGAGGAGAATGAAGCAATTGGCTTAAAGCTCAACATTCAGAAAACTAAGCTCATGGCATCTGGTCCCATCACTTCATAGCAAAGAGATGGGTAAACAGTCAAAACAGTGACAGACTTCATTTTGGGGCTCCAAAATCACTGCAGATGGAGATTGCAGCCATGAAATTAAAAGATGCTTACTCCTTGGAAGGAAAGCTATGACCAACCTGGAGAGCATATTAAAAAGCAGAGACATGACTTTGTCCACAAGGCCCATCCCATCCAGGCTGTGGTTTTCCCAGTGGTCATCAGCACACCAGGCTCCCCTGCCCTTCACTGTCTCCAGCAATTTGCTCAAATTCATGTCCACTGAGTCGATGAAGCTATCTAAATAAAAGTAAAGTAAATATCTTTAAAATACACAGTGTGAGAATTGTGAATTTTAGTTTTATCAGGGTCTTTATGAAGACTAGAGCTGGGAGGTAACCACTCAACATAAAGGAGGTAGGGGAGAAGCCAGTTTATGTGTGATTTTAGGAAATATGTGCAGTCAAGCATAGTTAACATTAGCATTAGTCGCTCAGTCGTGTCTGACTCTTTGTGACCCCGTGGACCATAGCTGCCAGGCTCCTCTGTCCATGGAATTCTCCAGGTAAGAATGGTGGAGTGGGTAGCCATTCTCTTCTCCAGGGAGTCTTCCCAACCCAGGAATCAAACCGTGTCTCCTGCAGTGTCAGCCAGATTCTGAGCCCCCAGAGAAGCCTACAGTCTCGAATGCATCTTGTTAAAAGATTCCTGCTGATCACAAAGAACAGGTGTATGCAGTAGGTGATCTCAGTGCTTTTCTATGTCTGGGGTCACCGACATTCTTCCAAGTTGCACATCTAACTATCTAAGGGCCTGCTCATCCAAAGCGTGGATTGCCTCCTCGAGTTTTTTATCCTGAATTCCTTTCAGGATGCCCTGGCCATGGTCAACCACAGTGGGTTGAGATTTAACCCATATAGAGCAGGGTGGTCAGCAATGCTCTCTGTCTTCGAGATCCTGTGTCCACAGCGTCCAAGTCCTTATCCAGGCTCATAACACCCTACAGTCTCCACCCCAGCCCTCCCCCAGGTGCCCTGATGTTTCCTAAATTTACAGGAAGCACTGCTGCCTCAAGACTTTTTTGTTTTTAAATCAACTTTCTGTTAGTCGCTCAGTCATGCCCGACTCAGCGTCGCCATGGACTGCAGCCCACCAGGCTCCTCAGCCCATGGGATTTTCCAGGCAAGGATACTGGAGTGGTTTGCCATTTCCTTCTCCAGGGAAGTTGACTTTATTGAGATATAATTTAAGTAAAATAAATTGCATCCATTTAAAGTGTATAAATTAAGGATTTGACAAATTTACACACTGGTGAAACCACCACTACAGTCAAAATGCACAGAACATTCTCAGTACCCCCAGAAGTCTCCTTATGCCCACTGGAAAAAGGACAATAAATATTTATTTAGTATTAACTTCTAATTACTTCGGGTTTGCTTTGCTCTTCTTTTTCTATCTTCTTATAATTGATTTAATTGATTTTAGGCTCCTCTACTAATATACATACTTAAAACTATAGATTTTTCTCAAAGCTCCGCTTTAGCTTTAGTACTGTACACATTTTGAAAGGTTAACTTTTGTTATCACACAGTTCAAAATATTTTCTAATTTTCTTTGTGATTACCTCTTTGACCTATGAATTATTTAGGAGTGCACTGTATTCCAGATTGTATTTGCATTTATGATTTTCTAGGTATTTATTCATTTTTAGTTTAATGTTGTATGGTATGGCTTATACATGGAGAATATACTCTATGTGATTTCAATCATTTTAGTCTTATCAGACTTATTTTATGATCCAGCTGTGACCACTATTTTCCACCTCTTTTAATTCTTTTCTTCCTTTTCTGTCCTCCTGTGGATTTCTTGAAATCTTTAAAAAAGAATCTCATTATAATTTACCTACTGATCTTTTAGCCATTTCTCTTTGAATTTTTAAAGTAATTGTCATAGGGATTAAAATATGCATCCTTGAAAAGGGAACCTCTTGTGCTGTTGGTGGAAATGTAACTTGGTGCAGCCCCTATGGAAAACAATATGGAGGTTCCTTAAAAAATTAAAAGTAGAATTTCCCTAATGGTGAGGTGTTGTCTCAAGAAAATGGGAATATTTAGCTTCCCTAGTCCATGTTCACTAAAAGCCAGGAACACTCCCAATAAGGAGACAAACCACCCCCCTCCCCACCTCCACCCAAGTTTCCCAAAGGCCTTCTTGAGTGGCTCTTTTCCTCCAGAGACCCAGTATCATTTCAGTTCACTTCAGTTCAGTCACCTAGTCAAGTCTGACTCTCTGTGACCCCATGGACTGCAGCACGCCAGGCCTCCCTGTCCATCACCAACTCCCGGAGCTTGCTCAAACTCATGTCCATTGAGTCAGTGATGCCATCCAACCATCTCATCCTCTGTTGTCCCCTTCTCCTCCTAACTTCAATCTTTCCCATCATCAGCGTCTTTTCTGATGAATCAGTTCTTTGCATCAGCTGGCCAAAGTATTGGAGTTTCAGCTTCGGCACCAGTCCTTCTGTTGCAGAACCAAGCATCACACTCAGAGTTGGAGAACTCAGGGTTATTACACCTGTGGGCCCAGAGGAGTTAACGCTCCAAGCTCTGACCCCTGAACAAAGGGATTACAGAGTTTTTATAGACAGACTGGAGTGGGCAACACTAGTTGTTAATAGGCTGGTTTAAACTGAGGGGTTTCGCTTGCCAGGGAACAGTGGTCAAGATGGGGAGGGGGATGCCTGGCCTGGATAGGCACGATTAAGCAGGTTTGCAGGGGCCGGGTGATTGCAAAGAGCAGGACAAGCCTGAGTGAGATAAACTCCAGT